CATCCAGCTCAGAGAGCATCAAGAACCTCCTCCTCCTCCTCCTCCTCCTCCTCCTCCCTCCTCCTCCCTCCTCCTCCTGCATAGCCCCCTCCCTTCTAGCATTGATGAGGTTCCCTACTTGGGAAATGAATCGTCTTCAGGAAAGCCATCCAGCTCAGAGAGCACCAAGGACCCCACACCCCTTAGAAGAAATAAAATGGCTTTATAGAGTCAGGTCAGATAGGCAGCATAGAAATGTGATGAATACATAACATTTTACGAAAGAATAACCAATTCGAAATAACTTTTACACAAGGATCTACGATATTCAATTGTGCCTGTGCACTTCCTCTCACAATCTAGCCAGGGCGGCCTCCTCAAAATTCGGGGCGCCCTGGACCCTTGCCCAACGCTAGTTTGTCACAATTTTTTTTTTCAAATAAGGGGGTGGAAAAATTCCATTTTCGAAGCTGCCCATTAATCCTGCTCTTCCTCAGCCCCGCGGATTGCGCGTGGAGGCTGTGCGTTTCCGTGTTTCCGTCCGAGATCTTGTCATGGCGGAGTGCGTTGTGTTTGTGCTGCTTCATCGTCAGAAACCCTCTCTTTTTATAGATATCAGTTTTGTGGGGACCTCGGAGCTGAAGGCGGCGCGAGCGGACTCTCCCTTCTGCCTAAAGAAAGCGGCTACAATTGGTACTAAGCGGGCGGCAGAAGGAACTCGCGCCTTTACGCTCTTCTTTGGGCTTGTAGCACGCCGGGTTGCACGCTTCGGGTGTCGTTCACGTCGGTTGGCTGCGGTGCCGGGGCCCTGCGCCCCGCAGCGGAGCGTTGCTAACGCGTCCTCTCTCTCTCTCTCACAGTCCCAGCGAGGCCCATGGTTGCGCAGAGAACAACGGTGGCGAATAAATCCGGGCCTGGCATGATCAAAAAGCCTCCTGGGGGGATCGGAGAGGATGAATCGGCCGAGTTGATACAACAGGTGGGTCTCCGGGGTGGGAGGTCTGTCAGCGGCGGTAAGCGACGTGGGCAGCTGTGGTTTTTCCCGACGGGAATTCCGAACCCCCCCCTTCATGCTGGATTTAAACCGTTTAAAGGGGTCCGGCGGGGGTGTGTGTGTCTGTTAGCCCCTCCTGAACTTCTGTCAGGGGCAAGGAATGAGGAATTGTGAGTGGATTAGAGCAGGGGTCCCTGACCTCTGGGCCGTGGCCACGCAAGCAGCGCGCGACTCCCATTTCTGCGAGCAGTGGGCGCTTGTGCTCCCACGCCAAGCTCCATTTGTGGGAGCGGTGCTCACCGGCCCGCCCGCCGCTGATGGAAATGGACTTGTGCATGCTCACATGGGTGTAACCCCCCCACACACACACATCTCCTCTTCCCTCCCCCCTTGCCTGTAATATTGCATTCTAACCGCTGCGCTACCAGGGCTCAGAGAAAGGAGAAAGAGGAACAGGAGAAGGAAGGAAGGAAGGAAAATATTGCAATAGCAATAGCATTTATATACCCCTCCATACTGCTTTATGGCCCCTCTCTTAGTGGTTTACAGAGTCAGCCTGTTGCCCCCCCCCAACGATCTGGGTCCTCATTTTACCGACCTCGGAAGGATGGGAGGCTGAGTCGACCTTGAGCCGGTCAGGATCGAACTCCGGGCTTTGGGCAGAGTTTGCCTGCAGTACTGCATTCTAACCCCTGTGCCACCAGATATAGAATAGGCGACGATAGGTAGGTAGGTAGGTAGATAGATAGAGAGATAGAGAGATAGAGGCAGGCAGGCAGGCAGGCAGACAGGCAGACAGGCAGACAGACAGACAGACAGACAGACAAATATAGATGATAGACAAATGTAGATGATATATGATATATGATACATAGATATAGATAGATAGATGATATATGATAGATATAGATATATGATACATATAGATAGATGATATAGATGATATATGATACATAGAGATAGATGATATATATTAGATAGATAGATAGATAGATAGATAGATAGATGATAGACAGATGACACAGAGATTATAGAGAGGGGGTGTAGAGCAATAGCAATAGCACTTAACTTATATACTGCTTCATAGTGCTTTATAGCCCTCTCTGAGTAGTTTACAAAGTCAGCCTATTTGCCCCCACCCCAACAGTCTGGGCCCTCATTTTACCGACCTCGGAAGGAGGGAAGGCCGAGTCAACCTTGAGCCGGTCAGAATCGAACAGGCTGGCAGTCGGCAGAGTCAGCCTGCAATGCTGCATTCTGACCACTGTGCCCCCACGGCTCTTTGTGGTGGCGTCCCTTCAGCGACTTGCCTCTGAGATGGACTTTTTTTTTTTGTCAGATCAACGCATTAAAGATGACTGTGGAAGATTTAGAAAAGGAACGAGATTTCTACTTCGGGAAACTGAGGAACATCGAGCTGATCTGCCAGGAGAACGAAGGCGAAAGTGATCCGGTCCTCCAGAGAATCGTGGAAATACTTTATGCTACAGATGTAAGTGGGTGTGATCTGGAGGTGGTGCTCCCCGCTTTGGGCTCGGACGTTAACTGATGAGCTGCGCACCCTTCCCCAGGACATTCACCTGCATGAATTGAATGGAATTAAATAACCTTTATGGTCATTTTTTCTGTACACACCGTGGCACACGCTAAAAATGAAATTCCCACGCATTGCTTCGAAAAGAGAAAAAAAGACCCCCCCAAATGTCACCACCCCAAGGATATTAAATAATAAAATAATAACAATAATAGCAACATCCAAAAATGCCAAATTATACGAAAATGATACCAAGACACACATGAACACATATACATACATGCATGTATATATGTAATCTATCTGTCTGTGTATATATATATATATATATATGTATGTATGTATGTATGTATGTATGTGTGTATATATGTATGTGATTAACGACCTGCATAGGCGTAATGGCGACTTAACTAGGTTTATTGAGAATTACCGAGGAAAATGCTGTATGGAGCTCGCAAACCAGCATTTCTGGAGATTGGATCGACATATCTGTTGGATCACCAGAAAGGTGAGCCGGTACGGACAGGCTCTGAAACAAGATTGAGGGGTTACGAAATTCCAACAAAGGTAACCCACCCGATGGAGTGGTTTATAACCTCTCCAGCAGAATGTTGACCCAAGCCCAATTAACCTTACTTCAACGCGATGCAGGTTGTAACTTGATGGATGCACATAACTTGGATTTTGTAGCGGCACTGGAGGCCTCATTACACCACGTTACGCTGGGAGAAGAAGTTAAAGACACTATTAGACAACGAGCGACTGGACTCCTTATGAATCATAGACGTCACCAGACTCTATCTAAGGGTGAGTTGGAGGCCATGGCCCAACTCAAAGAGGATAGGGATACCCTCATACTGCTGGCCGATAAGGGGAGGGCCACGGTCGTCATGGATAGGGTGCACTATGAACGCAAGGCTTTAGAACTACTCAAAGATACGACTGCTTACAGGATGGTGAAGAAGGACCCCATAGTTACCCTTAAAAATCGGGTTAATAAGTTGCTCAGTGCCCTCAAACATGGTAGGAGAATAGATGACAACACTCTTATGAGTTTACGCCCCAGGGATACGGCTGCTGCTAGGTTTTACGGGCTGCCCAAGGTCCACAAGGAGGGTGTTCCTCTCAGACCTATTGTCTCATTTAGGAACACCCCAATTTCAGGTTTGGCTAAGTGGCTAATTATCGCATTGGCCACCTGGTCAATGACAGCCACACCACCGTCAGATCTGCAGAGGACTTCCTGGACAGGATTAGGACCCTGAGGATAGAGGATGATGAGGTGATGGTGTCTTTTGACGTCGTCTCCCTCTTCACCTCTATCCCACAGGACCTAGCTGTTAGGACAATTAAGGACCTTTTGGATTGTAAAGGACTAGGACAGCACCAGGACTCCCTCCGCCCTGGCGACCTTGTGGATCTTTTAGGGTTATGCCTGAAAACCTACTTCACATTTCAGGGCACGGTATACGAACAGATAAAGGGCACCCCCATGGGATCCCCAATTTCTAGCATTGTTGCCGAGGCTGTCTTGCAATGGTTAGAGCACATAGTGATGGCCCAGTACCGTCCCAAGTTCTGGGCCCACTATTTGGACGACACTTTTGTCGTCATTAAGAGGAGTCGGAAAACTGACTTTGTGAACACACTTAATTCGTTGTGCGGATATACAGTTTACGGAGGAAGAAGAACATCAGGGTAAGCTGGCATTTTTAGATGTCTTGGTCCATCACCGGCCGGATGGGACCCTGAGCACCAAGGTTTTCCGTAAACCCACACACACCGATAGGATTTTGCATTATCATAGCAACCATCCTGTGGCTCACAAGGTTAGTTGTGTTAGAACACTCTTTAAGAGAGTTGACGCCCATTGCAATACAGCCAGGGCCAGAATGCAAGAAAGGAAACATCTCTTCCACATCTGTAAGCAGAATGGATATCCAGTGAAGTTCATCAAGCGCCTGTTGTGGCTCCGTCTTGTGAGCCCCTCTTATCGGAGGAAGAAGGCTCCGAACATGAAGGAGAGGAGATGGCCAGGCCTCCCTCTCCCTCTTTGGCAATGCCTCAGGTGTCTCCCGACGGAGAAGAGATTGACCAGGAGCCGGGTGGTTCTGAGATTGGCCAGGAGCCCGGTGTTTCTCAGATTGGCCAGGAGCCAGGTGTGTCGGATAATGAGGAAGAGAAGTTGTGGCTGGATCCACACCAGCGTAGGAGCGACAAGCGTGCGCAGCAGAAAAAGAGACGTGCCAGAGATTAAGCTGAGTCACTGGACCACACCCCACAGGCTATGAAAGGGTGCTGGTGGCCATTTGGACCTCTGTGACGGACAAAAGCTGAATCTCTGGCAAAGTAGTTTGCTGTGGCTTTAAACTGTGTGTATTGTTTTTGTTTCTGTGTGCTTGGAGTAAAAGGTCTTGGCAGGCAGCTACGGAGCTGCTGCCAAGTTTCTTATCTGTGAAGTGGTGTCTGGAGAAGTCTTTAACCCTTGGCTGGCTGTTTGGGTGTGTGGGTCGGAACGGGGACAGAACAGCGCCATGGTGCACTACCTAGACCTCCTAGTGATCTACAGACGGGGATTTTACCTTCCCAGACGACACGTGTCACCCTCCCATATGTTAACAACGTCTCGGAGGCCACAGCCAGATTGCTGGCACCTTATAACATCGTGGTAGCACACAAACCTAGCCGGACGTTGCGTTCATGTATTATGAGGCCAAAAGACCCACTCCCCACGTTAGAGAAATCTGGAGTGGTATACATGATTAACTGCAGTAACTGCTCCAGTAACTACGTGGGTGAGACTTCTAAGAGGGTCATAACTAGAATTCAGGAGCATAAATTGGCCATAAGAAGAGGGGAGCAATATTCCCAAATTCTGACGCATATGGTAGAGTCTGGTCACAGATTTGATTTTGATGGGGTGAAGGTGGTTGCCAGTGATGCTACAAAGAATGTTAGACTGCTTAAAGAAGCCTGGCTCTCGGGTGATGAATCGATCAACCGGCATATTGATCTGCGCCCGGCATATCGAACGCTGAGGTCATGGGAGGCACGCAATAGATCGTCATGGGATAACCAAAATAATAACAACAACCCCACCCCCACACTGGAGAGGGTCAATACCCATGAGAGTAGTGACCAACGATTTAAGACCTCTAGTGCCAAGAGGATTAAAGCACATCCATCACGAGCGGTAGAACCTGTTGACATTGGAGGTCGAGCCAACGCAACGTCGGATACCCCCGTGCGTTGCGGGAGATGTTCAGAGGAAGAGACGGAATACACTTGGGTCGAGATACCCCATAACCATCCTCGCAACAGCATCAACTTCACCACGAGTACCACCGCGACCGTGGATTTCCATATCTGCCTGGCGGGATCGCAGTCATGCCTATGTGAAACGGCTGACCCGATAAGATCTACCCTTGTAAACGCACGAGAAGGGAATTATTGCGAGCTCTCCCCGTGGGGAGCTATTACATGCCCTCAAAAAGGGGCGCGGCAGACCAAAGGGAATGAAGGCAGGATTATTGAACTACGACCCGGAGTGATCCTCAAGAAGGGGAATGAAGAGCTCCTTGTAAAAACTACCCCCCATGAAGGTATACGAGGAGGAAATGATCGGGAGCTCCCCTCGCTCAGGGCTGATGTGTGTTCTCTAAAGGCAACATGGCAGATGGAAGGGGGTGAAGGTACGATCACCAAATCAAGATCCGGACTGCCTTATGAAGGGAAAGGAGGAGGGACAACGTATTGACGAGGCACGGAGGTGGACACCCCTAAATGCGGTTGACATAGATGGAGCCACTTACCGATGCTTTCAGCCTAATCAGCGTTACGAACTGAGGTCTACCAAAAAGGGGAGGACAGATGCCATGAATGTTCACGATAGCAGTAGAATCCGGGGAGTGGAGCCGAAAGGAAAGCTTGACGATGGGAGTGAATGCAGGATGCATCCGATGGAATCCTGCAATGACTATCGTAATCGTGGCTTGGGAAAGGGACCTATTGGTCATCTTAAAGGAGAGGAGAAGAAAAAACATCAGGATGATGAGGGTTGTGGTTTGAATTGGAAGAAAGACAGGCTCCTCCCTGTTTCACAGCCACGGAGTAACGGGAGGGTTGATGTCCATGGGAACGTAGGCAAAAGAATTGAGGAGGAGTTGACCATGATGAACACAGTGATTGACCGACCGGGACCTATCACAAGGTCTAGGAGTCGGGCGCAGGCATTGGCTGGTGTATAAATGCCTTCTCCCATTGAATTATCTATGCCCTGATGATGTTGGTAGGAACCAACGAAAGCTAGGTCTCTTTTAGAATCTTTTAGAATCTTTTAAAATTTTTAATGTTTTATTAAAACTTTTAATGATTTTAAATTTCCCTGGTGTTCACCTTTTGTTATTTATTAGTATGGATATACCCAGGGATCACTCATCCATTTTTAGTGTTATTTTTAATATGTATGTGTATGTACGTACGTACGTATTGTACAGTGGTGGCCAAAATGGTGGAAACCTTTTGATGGCATTTCTACTGTACACTTTTCCCAAAAGGTTTCCACCATTTTGGCCGCTACTATATACCATGTTTCAGAGAATGCGCAGCTCCCCATATAAATTCTCCCATGCGGAGCGGTTTACTTTTGTTCTATCCCAGCCTATTGCCGTCCTTGTTAGAGGCACAAGGACCCAACCCCTGCTGATACAATAGGCTGGAGACTTTAAAACAAAACAAAATCCCTTTTATTTGGGTGACAAACCTGTCAATAAATCCAAAACACAAACAGCAAAACTCAAGTCCAAAGGAAGGAAATAGTCCACAGGAACACATTGCAAACAAGACGAACAGACCAGGATTCTAAGAAGCACTTTGCAAATGGTTGCCTTGAGCAACCAGCAACGCCCACACCTCCCCTTTTTATACAGCAGTCCCAGGGCGTTGCCTCTCATTGCCTTCTCCGTTTACTTTGGAGTAGTCGCATAGACTGCTGTTGTTTTTCTCTTGCTAATTGACGACGCCTGCGAGGATCAATTAGCACATCCAGGTGTGAGCCTTCTGAATCTGACTCATGCTCCTCACACAGCTGAGCTTCAT